AAATAAATTGTTCTTGTTATTAATAAGGTAGGTAAGTTTTCTAAGTTCCCTTTGGTGCAAAATTATAAATTTTTACATCAACATTAATGAAAAAAATATATCTTTAAACGTATAAGAGAAATTTTAGAAAGGACTTAATTTTAAATGAGTTCTTGCTAATTGACCAGTTTTACATATTCGGCACGACATATATTATATATATATATATATATATATATATATATATATATATATATATATATATATATATATATATATATATATATATATATATTAGAATATACAATAACATGCATCTATAATAGATACTTACTTAAATTTATTCTCATTCAGGTTACTATAATATGTACACACTCACACACACACGTGTGTGTGTGTGTGTGTGTGTGTGTACGTCATGTCTAGGCTATTCCACTTCCTGACAACTCTATGACTGAAGAAATATTTTCTAACGTCCCTTTGACTCATAGGAGTCTTCAACTTGCAATTGTGACCCCTTGTTGCTGTGTTCCATCTCTGGAACATCCTGTCTTTGTCCACCATGTCAATTCCTGGCAGTATTTTATATGTCGCTATCATGTCTTCCCTGACCCTCCTGTCCTCCAGTGTCGTCAGGCCGATTTCCTATAACCTTCCTGTAGGACAATCCCCTTAGCTCTGGGACTAGTATTATTGCATACCTTTGCACTTTCTCTAATTCCCTGACGTCCTTGACCAGGTGTGGGTTCCAAACTGGTGCTGCATACTCCAATGTAGGCCTGACGTATATGGTATACAGTCTTGAACGATTCCTTACTAAGGTATCGGAACACTATTTTTAGGTTTGCCAGACGCCCGTATGCTGCAGCGGTTATCTAACTGATGCGCGCCTCAGGAGATGTGCTCGGTATTATACTTACCCAAGATCTTTTTTCTTGAGTGACGTTTGCAGTCTTTGGCCACCTAGACTATACTCTGTCCGCGGTCTTCTTTGCCCATCCCCGATCTTCATGACTTTGCATTTAGCAGGGTTAAATTCAAGGAGCCAGCTGCTGGACCAGGCTTGTAGCCTGTCCAGGTCTCTTTGTAGTCCTGCCTGATCCTCGACCGATTTAATTCTTCTCATTAACTTCACATCATCTGCAAACAAGTACATTTCTGAGTCTATCCTTTCTGTTATGTCATTTACAGATACCAAAAACATCACAGGTCCTAGTACTGACCGTTGTGGAACCCCACTCGTCACAGGCGCCGACTCTGACACATCTTCAGGTGTCATGACTCGTTGTTGCCTCCTTGTCAGATATTCTCTGATCCATTGCAGTGCCTTTCCTGTTATGTGTGCCTGATCCTCTAGCTTTTGCATTAACCTCTTGTGAGGAACTATGTCGACGGCCTTCTTGCAGTCCAAGAAAATGCAGTCTACCACCCCTCTCTCTCGTGTCTTCTGTTACCTTGTCATAAAACCCCAGTAGGACTGTGATACAGGATTTTCCTTCCCTGAAACCGTGCTGGTTGTCATTTATAAACTTGTGTCTTTCTAGGTGCTCCACCACTCTCCTCCTGATGATCTTCTCCATGACTTTACTTACTATACACATCATTGACACAGGTCTGTAGTTTAATGCCTTGTGTCTGTCTCCTTTCTTAAAAATTGGGACTGCATTTGCCATCTTCCATACTTCAGGTAGGTGCCCAGTTTGGTATAAATCTTGGTAATAAATACTGACAAGTTGGCTTAGAAAGACATGTAAGCAAACACTGACATATTTATTAGAAAACGTTTCTAATATGTCATAGTGTTTACTTACATGTCTTTCTAAACCAGTTGCCCAGTTTCAATAGATGTGTTGAAGATTCAAGTTAGTGGCACACACAGCATCTCTGCTCCCTCTCTAAGGACCCACAGAGAGATGTCTGGTCCCACCACCTTTCAGGTATTAAGTTCAAATAACAGCTGCTTCACCTCCTCCTCGCTTGTGTGTATTTCACCCAGCACTTGTTGGTGTACCTCCCTATTCTGAATTCCTGGGGTCCTTCCTGTCTCCACTGTAAATACTTCTATAAATTACATGTTGAGCTCCTCACATACCTCATGGTCATTTCTTGTGAACTCCCCACCTTCCTTTCTCAGCCTGATTACCTAGTCCTTGACTGTTGTTTTCCTCTTGATGTGGCTATACAACAGCTTTGGGTCAGACTTGAATTTCGATGCTATGTCATTTTCGTATTGTCACTGAGACTCACTTCTTATCTGTGCATATTCGGTTCTGGCTCTTCGGCTGATCTCTTTATTTTCCTGAGTCCTTTGTCTTCTGTACTTTTTCCATTCTCTAGCACACTTAGTTCACCCAAAGATGTAGTGAGGCAAAAACTAAGGACTTGTTCTGGTCTTCCCATTATTTCTGTTTCCTTTGGCAACGAACCTCTACTCTGCTTCCTTGCATTTTGTTGTCATATAGTCCATTATTTCTGTTACTGGCTTTCTGCCAATTCTCTCTCTTCCACTAAACATCTTGCAGGAAGTTTCTTATGCCTGTGTAGTCCCCCTTTTGTAGTTTGGTTTTCCTGGCCTATTCCTACTACCCTCTCCACTTTTAGCACAACTATGTAATCAAAACACAGAACCGCATGATCACTGCCTCCAGAGAGCCTTTCGTACGTGATATCCTAAATGTCCAAACTGCTCAAGGTGAATACCAGGTCCAGTCATGCTGGATCGTCCTCACCTCTCTCTCTCTCTGGAAGCATCTCTAACGTGTTGATCCATGAGGTTTTCCCATACCATATCCATCATCTTGGCTTTCCGTGTTTTGGGACCCCTATGGGGCTTCAGGTTCTTGAAATCACCTATAACTAGTAACTTTGCCCTCCACATCTGAGCTCTTCTGGCCACCTCGGCTGTCTACCATTTCTTCGTTGCTCTCGTCGTATTCTTCTCTTGGCCTCCTGCAGTTTTGTGGTGGGTTGTACACTACTGCAATTATCACTTTATGACCCTCAGACTGGATTGTTCTTATGTAGTCCCTTTCGCCCATTCCATCCATTCCTTTCATTTCCTCGAATCCCCATCGGTTTTTAATGATCAGTGCAACACCTCCTCCCCTCTGCTTCCTCTGTCTTTCCTGAGGATTTGATATCCAATCTGGTGAGTTTCGTTTCCGTGAGTGCTATTATGTCTGGGGATGTCTCCTTGATTCTTTAATGCCACTCCTCACTTATTTGTTATTCCGTCTGCATTTGTATACCAAACCTTTAGCTTCTGTTCTAAAACTGTGGTCTTGGTGCTTGCTGTGAAGGTGGAGTTTGTACTGAGGTGGGTGGGGGCATTGGGTATGGCATGCGTGTTTTGGGTTAGAATCTTTGGTTGCATTGTTGTGTGTGTGTGTTTGAAATTAAGTTGTAACAAAGTTCTGTCAATAAACAGAATGGTGGACGGGATGCGAACCGCGTCCTGCAGACTGATATTCTGGGTAACTGATCCAGCTATCCAGGCCTCTAGCAGGATGAATTCGGAAATATGTTGAAAATGGCAATACAATGGAATAAAATACCGACATGATGATTAAGACACCTATCCAACGGTTAGGTATCTTTATTGTTGAAACGTTTAGCCTTTACAGTAGACTTCTTCAGTCAAATACAGAGGCAGCAGGTGTAGTAATGAAATGAAATTGATGTAATCAGTCCATCAAATTTGGAGAAATAAATAATACGTATTACAGTAAACTGAATAAGTATAAATTTAAATAACTATCAAATAAATAGTCACGTTATTGTTTTTTAAAATTCGACCAGAAAACATATTAATATCAAATCGTTTTAAAACGCATATGTTTATTAAAAATATTATTTTCAATTTAATAAATATATAGTAATATGAGGTTGTGTACTAAGCTGGATTAAATTCTATAAGAATATTTAATATTTTTAATTTTATTTAATGATGCAAAAACACTCTTGATTAGAACGTATTTTCAACGTTAATTTTGAAATAAGAAATATTACAAATTCTACGTTTAAGGGGCATTTTATCTGCAGTTTGTCTCATCCTTCAGTTCCAGTTGTAATTTTTGACAAAAGAATGGCAAGAGATGTATACGTGCAGTTCTCCACTTGTGATAGTGCACTTTTCGTAACAAAAATCCCCTGGCAGATTGACATCAGGTTCACCTAATGCCACGCTCTTAGATATCTTCGTGGGAGGTTTGTAAAGGATTTTGTTTTCCTAATACCAATAGATGACAGTGAAACATTAAAATAAATGAATGATTTCTGGAAACTCACACACTGTGTTGACCAGGTGGAATATTCTGTTGTATAGATTGCATGTGTCACGTGCCTCGAGTGGTGTACGTGTTAAGCTAGTATAAGTTAAAAGTTGTAATTCTCCTGGCATGTTTGGAGAACGGATGCCTTGTTGATATAAAAAAATTTAATTCGGAAAATGATTTTTTGGGGAACACCGTAAATCTTTGAGGTGAATTTATCTCTAGTAACATGGAAGAATGCCTAGTATGGGCCAGTAGGCCTATATCAGTACTCCTTCATTAAGTGAGTTTGACTTGGATTTGCCTAGCATGCTCCAGGAAATCTGCTGCAGTTCCCCCTCTTTCTTGTTCTTATTTGTGTAAGTATTGCTCAGGAGGAATATCGGACTACTCTATCGTGAGCCTCTGCTGCTGCTCTGTGGTTGCGAGGTTCCTGTTAGTGGAAGAGTCAACAACAGAGTAGCGTTCACCACTTCGCAAACACAATTGCAATCACTTGTGTTGCTGCAATAACCCGTGTATCATTACTAGTAATAGTTTTCTCACGTTTGTTGTTGCAAATACCAGTATATGAACAATCATTTTACTGAGATAAATGTCAAAGGTTCGTTTAAAAAGACACGTTTAAAATTTACGATAAAAATGACAGACGTGCTCAAGGTTCCAGGACCGATATGTTTTCTATTAGATATGTCCTAGTGTTTTCTCAAGTGGCTTTTGAAACCAATTTGCAGGTATTAATTACCATCCCTACAGGTATCGTGGCTACGACATCGGGACCTACACCTGCTCACCGTGGGACCATACACGTACACAAGTGACCAGAGGTTCAGAGCTGTGCACACTGCTGGCTCCGAAGACTGGGCTCTCTCTATCAAGTTCGCTCAAGTGCGTGACACTGGCATGTATGAGTGTCAGGTGTCCACCACACCTCCCATGAGGCACAACATCTGGCTCACAGTCGTAGGTGAGTACACCACACATGAGGCACAACATCTGGCTCACAGTCGTAGGTGAGTACACCACCCTTGAGGAACTACATCTGGATCAGTCGTAGGTGAGTAAACCATCCATGAAGCACTACATCTGGCTCACAGTCGTAGTTTAGTAAACCACCCATGAGGCAATAAGTCTGGCTCAGTCGTAGGTGAGTACACCACCAATGAAGCACTACATCTGGCTCACAGTCGTAGGTGAGTACACCACCCATGAGGCACTACATCTGGCTCACAGTCGAAGGTGAGTAAAAAGCCTCTTCATCTTAGCAAGAAGATCCTCTTGAAGATGATGCTTGGCTCTTATTTATCATTTAAGGCTATGTTGTTATTCTAACATTTCCGTTTAGCCTCTTTTCCTGCGCATTGTCCAGCCTCTCTGGTTCATCACCTAATATCTCCTTAGTTGCGTTCTTGACATAGTGACGTATGAAGTTTTCTATACCTCCAGCAGCTTAATTGTCCATGTTTCTGCTCCTCCATGTGGGGTTAATTGAGACAGAAAGGCGTGAGGTTGATATTAGTTATGGACTGGTGGGGACAGTACCTGATTTTGATCTTTTGGGAGAAAAGCTGGGTGGTGTGTCTTAAGTATTTACCCTGGGGCTGGGTGTACCTTCCTCCTGCATCCCTATCTGCTCCTCTTCCCCCTACTCTGACGGCTATTTATGTACCACTCCTCATACGTTTCCTCTTCTGCTTCGACTATGTGAAAATAAGGTTAGCCTGATAGGGCGTTGTTTACTATGTGTGAGTTTAGACTAGCACTAACAATATGTGTGTTCACAGAACCCAAGACTACCATATACGGGAGTGGGGACGTGTTTATCAACAAGGGCAGCAACATCAACCTCACCTGTGCGGTAGACTACACACCACAGCCGCCCTCCTACGTCATCTGGAAACACAACAATAAGGTTAGAGATGCAGCAGATTTGCACTGGTAACTTACAGGGTAAGTAGTAACATTTTAAATTACAATAATGGGGATTACTAGAATTAATAATATGATATTTACGTTTAGAGTCTTGGTACTGGGAGGCAAACGGTCAATAGTGGACATAGGTGGACTAAGTATCCACATAGAATCTCTACTACTTAAGGCCCACCAAATCGTTAAGAGGTAAGTCTGGGGTGCCAGAGGTAAGTGATAACGGGGAACTTTGATTGAACTTTCTATAGAAAGATGTTGAGTTATAGCTAATATGTAGTTTAGGAAAAAATGATAAATAAGTATAAGAGATATGATATAGGGCGTAATGACAGTAGTTTGTTGGACTGTGTATTGATGGACAAAGTTGATGAGTAGACTTCAGGATGTGGATGTGTATGGAGAGGCAACAGATATACGAGATAATTTTTTAGCTGTAGCTACAGTGAGAGTAAAAGGCTGATGGAGTACAAGGAGAATGACATCAGAAAGTAAGAGAGAGGTGAAAGTTTATAAACTACCTCACAAACTTCCCCCACACTCACAATTGGTTCTTCCTTACTCCTACAAGATGTTATTCCTCCTTGCCCTATATACGAAATTACAGCCTCCCTATCTTCATCAACATTTAACAATTCCTCAAAATATTCCCTTCATCTTCTCGATACCTTTAACTCTCCATTTAATAAACTCTCCTCTCCTGTTTTTAACTATCAAGTCAATTCGTTCCCTAGGCTTCCTCAACTTGTTAATCTCTCTCCAAAAGTTTTTCTTGTTTTCAACAAAATTTGTTGATAACATCTCACCCACTCTCATTTGCTCTCTTTTTACATTGTTTCACCACTCTCTTAACCTCTCGTTTTCTCTGCATATACTCTTCCCTCCTTGCATCACTTCTACTTTGTAAAAACCTCCCATATGCTAACTTTTTCTCCCTTACTACTCTCTTTACATCATCATTCCACCAATCGCCCTTCTTCCCTCCCGCACCCACTATCCTGTAACCACAAACTTCTGCTGAACGCTCTAATACTACAGAGTTAAACCAACCCTATATATACATCTTCGACCCCATTGCCTATACTCTCCCTGGCCCATCTATCCTCCAATAGTTGCTTATATCTTACACTAACTGCTTTCTCCTTTAGTTAATAAACCTTCACCTCTCTCTTACTTGCTGCTTATATATATATAATATATATATATATATATATAGATATATATATATATATATATATATATGCAATAAGATCACAGTAAACAGGTGATTTCAGAATATGCAAAACAACCACTCTATGAAAGAATTAGAAATTCCAAGCGATTTCGTGACTACTCACATTATCAAGGAACTATGACATTATCAAGGAACTTGATTAATGTGCGTAGTCACGAAAGGCTTTGGAATTTCTTATTCTTTCAGAGTTGTTGTTTTGCATATATATATATATATATATATATATATTATATATATATATATATATATATATATATATATATATATATATATATATATATATATATATATTGTAAGAATGTTAAAAGTTAACAGTGATGGTAAGCGAGAGGGAGTAATGTGGGTGTGATTGCAGGTGATCACATACGACAGTGAAAGAGGAGGAGTTAGTGTGGTGACGGAGAAAGGTTCCAGGACCACCACCAACCTGCTCGTGAGAGGAGCCTCTATAGAGGACTCTGGCACTTATCCTGTAACCCCAGCAGCGCTCCCGTCGCAAAGGTCCTTGTCCATATATTGAACGGTAAGTCTTTTTCCCCTACCTTGGAGTATGTTCTCCGAGGCTTTTGAGATAAACAGCTTTTCTTAATTTGCAGGGAAAAATGAAAATGTTCGTTTTGTTGCCTTCCGTGCGATTAAGATCTGCAGGATCAGCCTAATTACGATTGTCCCTCTCCTGATGATTCAAGAAAATCGTAATAGCACGATCGTAAATCTCTCAGGGAACGAGTTGTTGCAACCGTGTTACAATTTCTTCAAACGACTGACAAAGACTTTGAAGAGATTTGAGCTAGGTCTCATCGCTCTAGTGTGGGTGTGAAATTTCTCAATTTAACGTTGCATTTGCGATCTCACTGGAGCTAATGCTGATCTTTCCAGTGCATAGGAATATATCGAGTTGGATGATTTTTACAAAGCCTGCTTGTTCCAGAGAGTAGTTTCAGTACTGCCTTGTGCTGGAACCTCATCAGTTTCCTGAGTTATCTTCCTCTGATTTTTATTGATCGTTTGAGGTGATTCACCATGTTCATTTTCCATCTGTTTTCTCTGCTTGTTTCATTACAATTTATCTCCAAAAAGCTATATTCTTTTTCCAGTCCTGTTTCCAGCCAAGGCTTCCCTTCTTGGAATGGTTATGCGTATTTCCATTGTAATAATTGCAGAATTACCGATAAAATGTTAGATATACGGACACAGATGCAACTAATGTGACATTTTATTTTGGCCACAATAGAATGTCATATTAGGTGCATCTGTGTCCATTTACCTAACACATTTTCATTGTGTCTTTTTCATATTTGTTCCTATTGTTAGGTTGCGTGATGCGTATCACGTTATGCTGCCCGAAAAATCATGGCGGCTATGGTCGATCCATCTCTTGCAGTCTCCGCCGCTGACTGACCAAAGCGACAGCTCACCACCTCCTCTGCATTAATTATATGGCAACCTCACGAAGACTATTTGTGTTATCGTTACTCTTAACATTGTGTGATCATCTTTTACACATAGACAACATACTGGAAATGTGTTTAGATAAATCGTCAGAGTTCATCATGCTTGCTGAAGAACAATGCTAACAGTAATTCCCTGGTACAAGCATTTTTCTCTCCTGACGCTTTTGCATCAGAGAGTTAGAACCTACTTCAACGGAATTTCAAGATGAAGTTGGACTAGAAGTCTTTTTCAACAGATTTTCTACGATAGGCCAAGTAAAGGAATGTATTGTAATGATCAGGTGATATAGTCAAACCAAATAGTCGTGTAAAGTATTGCAAGATAAAATTTACCTAGTGTAATACTATAAAAGTTTAAGTTTGGCAAGATAACTAACTTCACTTAAAGTACGAAAAGAGAAACAGAATGAGTTGGTCAGAGTTAAACAAGAACAGAGGGAACTAGGTCAAGTATAACTAGCTCAAGTGAGGTCAGTAGGAGCTACTTGTCCAGCTAGATTATATTCTCGATTTCACTTCGTATAAGATTACATCACGAGACGTAAGGTCATATGACAGGCAGTAAAATAGAAACAGTTTGCAGATTTTTTTTTACCTGGTCAAATATTTACTAATGTGTAACTAAATGATCGTTAGAAAAATTAAATGCAAATTATTTGTTTGCAAATATTTTAATTAACGAAATAGCTGCACTGGCGAGCGTAGGAACACACTCCACCGCTGGAAGCTCTTAACGCAGCTGTGCTCACGGCTACCAAATTAAACTGAAGATCGCATCAAACAAGTGTTAAGAGATATTAAACATTCCTTTGGATTTACCAACATCCGTCACATATTACATTGTAATATCCTACATCAGTCACACATTACACTGTAAACAACCAACTATCTGTCACACATTACACTGTAAATACCCAACATCAGCCACACATTACACTGTAAACAACCAACATCTGTCACACATTACACTGTAAACAACCAACATCTGTCACACATTACACTGTAAATAACCAACATCAGTCACACATTACACAGTAAATAACCAACATCAGCCACACATTACACAGTAAATAACAACATCAGTCACACATTACACTGTAAATAAAACAACTATCACACATTACACAATAAATAACCAACATCAGTCACACATTACACTGTAAATAACAACATCAATCACACATTACACAGTAAAATAACCAACATCAGTCACACATTACACTGTAAATAACCAACATCAGTCACACATTACACTGTAAATAACCAACATCAGTCACACATTACACTGTAAATAACCAACATCAGTCACACATTACACTGTAAATAACCAACATCAGTCACACATTACACTGTAAATAACCAACATCAGTCACACATTACACAGTAAATAACCAACATCAGTCACACGTTACACTAAATAACCGAGAGTCACACATTACACTCTCATAAATAACAAACGCGTATATTCAGCAACGCTAGCTGAAGGAGTACTGAAAATCGAGTACAAAGATCATTCCTATTTTCTCAGCTCTTCAATATTTCGAGTTATTTTGTCCCCTCAAGTGAGCGTCCTTGACACCGGCGACGACCTCTTGTTCCAGAGAACTGAACCTAACCTCTTCCTTCTTGGATGGAACCCAGAGGTGCCGGGTAGGGTTTTCCTACTATGTATGTAGTGTTGGGTCGTACCCAGGTACTGGCCTGATTTTGCATGAAAACTTTAGTTTTGGTGGGCAGTGGGGAAGCATTATATTCAAGCCACAAGTTAACTGAAACGTATTTTTCTGATTACCTGTTAGAAAAAATAATATAAATATTCACTGTGATGCAGAGAATTACGGAGCCGTGATCGCAACTGGTCCTCAGGGAACAATTTTAATATCCAGTGAGTTATTCAACAATTATAGTACGTAAAATGAATCAAAATAAATTTATCCCAGTAATTTCTTATTAAAAAAATAATTAAAATACAACTTAGTGTAATGTATAATGAAAATACAACCTTGTGTAATGTATAATGAAAATACAACCTGGTGTAACGTATAATTAAAATGCAACCTGGTGTAATGTATAATTAAAATACAACCTGGTTTAATGTATAATTAAAATACAACCTGGTGTAATGTATAATTAAAATACAACCTGGTGTAATGTATAATTTAAATACAACCTGGTGTAATGTATAATAATACAACCTAGTGTAATGTATAATTAAAATACAACCTAGTGTAATGTATAATTAAAATACAACCTAGTGTAATGTATAATTAAAATACAACCTAGTGTAATGTATAATTAAAATACAACCTAGTGTAATGTATAATTAAAATACAACCTAGTGTAATGCATAATTAAAATACAACCTGGTGTAATGTATAATTAAAATACAACCTAGTGTAATGTATAATTAAAATACAACCTAGTTTAATGTATAATTAAAATACAACCTAGTGTAATGTATAATTAAAATACAACCTGGTGTAATGTATAATTAAAATACAACCTGGTGTAATGTATAATTAAAATACAACCTGGTGTAATGTATAATTAAAATACAACCTGGTGTAATGTATAATTAAAATACAACCTAGTGTAATGTATAATTAAAATACAACCTGGTGTAATGTATAATTAAAATACAACCTGGTGTAATGTATAATTTATGTTGTACTGAGTTATGGTAAGTCAGGCCGGGTTATTTGTCTTAATTAAAGTCATCAAAGAAAGAGAATAAAAAAAATAATTCGAGGATAACTAAAATATACGAAACAATGGCTGTCTGTATAATAAAGAACGTTTCATGTACGTGATGTTTCACCCGCTGGGGCCTTGTTTATGTACTTGGTAAGTACATAAACATGGCTTCAGTGGGAAATAAATTACATAACGTCCCCATTGGGTGAAACACTGTGGATAAGTGACCGAAACGTGCTTCAGAAACTTTGCAGTGGGGGTAACGAGCTTCATAACATGCCTTCCGTAATCACTAGTGGGTTATACAACAATGATAAACCTCCCACTGGTTTAAACGTGCTTGATAAACTTTCCCTAGTCGGTAATACGTCCTTAATAAAGCTCCCAGTGGATGAAACGTTCCTGATAAAAATCCCAGTGGGGGGAATGTGCATAATCATGTTCTAGCGAGTGAAACGTCCATGAAAAAGTTCCCAGTGGATAAAGCTCCTGTTGAGAGAAACGTGCGTGGTATAATACCTAATAAAGCCCCAGTGGGTGAAACGTGCTGGATAAATTCCCTAGTGAGTGAAACATGCTTAACAAAAAACCCAGAGAAACGTGCCGGATAAATTCCTTAGTGAGTGAAACGTGCTTAATAAAAAAACCAGATGAACGTGCTGGATAAATTCCCTAGTGAGTGAAACATGCTTAATAAAATCTCTGGAGAAACGTGCTGGATAAATTCCTTAGTGAGTGAAACGTGCTTAATAAAAAACCCAGAGCAACGTGCTGGATAAATTCCCTAGTGAATGAAACATACTTAATAAAAACCCCAGAGAAACGTGCTGGATAAATTCCCTAGTGAGTGGAATTTACTAGATAAAATCCCCAGTGAGTGAAACGTGCTTCACCATTATGAAAATTGCTGTCCTGGGAAAATAAAAATGGATGGATAGTAAAAATAGAGAAACCGTAGAAAAATTTTTTAAGATATTTTACGACTCACGAAATCGTAATGACACGATTGCAAACAGATCATACCCCGGCCGGGATTGAACCCGACGGGCTGGAGTTTTGTGACTCTCTGACCGCGGGTTCAATCCCGGCCGGGGTATGGTTTATATTTTATGAGTAACTAAAATAAAAAGAAGAGAAACAGATGTAGATGATGTAGAAGGACCTTTCCCACAAGAAAATGGTTTTGCATTCATTGTGGCGGCGATTTGGGAAAGTTAACCTTCCCCTTGGAAGTGAACTCAGCATGGCTGGTTGCTGCATGGCTGGTTGCTTCATGGCTGGTTGCTGCATGGCTGGTTGCTGCATGGCTGGTTGCTGCATGGCTGGTTGCTTCATGGCTGGTTGCTGCATGGCTGGTTGCTTCATGGCCGGTTGC